AGCTCAAGACGGATCTAATCTGTACTTTTTATATGAAAATGTCCTAAATGCTGATCTGAAAGAATTGGGATTTGTTTAAGAAATTAAATGTTTAGGCAGACACAAGTGAGTAATTGCCGCCTTCACAAAACCTGCGTATGGGTTTCTTCTCCTCAAAGCGTGAGAAATTTAATGCAAATTCAGCTTGGAGCTGAAAATCGTATTGCTGGCAAAGGCAGCCCAGGCCTTTGGTATTCCCGCAGAAACGCAAACTGCAGAAAAGGCTGTAACAGCTCGGCCTCTTCTGCCAGGGCGCTCTGCGGGCAGTCCCGTACCGGATCGCCCGCCGTCCTCCACAAGTGACCTCTGTCACTGGAGCAGAGACATAAAGAGCCTCAGTGAGCTTGGCTGAACTGGGCCTTTGCCCGTCTGTGCCGGAGAGAGTAACCTCAGTGTTCCCCTGCCTCCTTCCCTCCCCACAGTGTGTCTGTGAAAATGCTGACTCGATTCAGCTGCCAAAAAAAGACGTTTGAAAAGTATACATTGCTCTCCTGTGTCCTAACTCCTATAAAATATGGGTTCTGGTTGGCTCCTGTGTGTGATGCTCAGTAATTTTATGGAAGAGAAAAATAGCATCGTCACAACTATCTACACAGCACTTAATACAGTGAGGTCTTAGTTTGTATTGGGGCTCCTGAGTGCCGTTCGGAGCATTATTAATTGGATTATATTACATATAGATGCAGATAGAGGTCAAACAGCCCAAAGCTGCACTTGGGATGTTAAATGTTCCTATTGAGCTCTGCATTCCCGGGTCTTGGTAGCAGAGTAGGGTTACGCTGGCGGAGGGAGCGTTCCTTCGCCAAAATAAAGCATGTGCGGCTCGGGACTACTCTGCCTTAATTTGCACATGGGGTAACCTGCATTGCAGAACTTGCTAACTTCTGTGGCTCTTGTTGATACAGCCCCAGGGCTGTGACACGGCGCTGCTTAACGTAGCTGTAGAGAAGCGCATCAGAAACCTTGCAAGGTGCTTTGACTGTATCGTAAGGGGTAAACCATGTAGCGTGTTATCTGGCAAGGCATGGAGTAGGAGCAGGGGCTGTGATTACCTCTAATTCTTGATAACTTGTGGAAAAACTTGGCTAAGGCTTGGCTTTGTTCATGAAAGTGACTTTAGAGATGTAGAAGGGTCTTTACAGTTTTAGTTTCCTACAAAAGCGTTTCTTTTCATGATTCACATTTTAGTTCTATTTTTGCTTTTTTTTTTTTTTTTAAAAAAAAAAGGGTAGGTTAGTGGGAAAAACAAAATTTCTGAGTTTTACACTGTTTGAATATGCACTGAGCTCTGGGTGGGAGCTGTGCAACTAATTCCTCATCCATCACCCGAGAAGTACAAGAAGGGGTAAGAAAAACCCATGTGATTCCGTTGTGCCCCAGAGCGAATGTGAAATAGGCCCCGCGAGCTCGGCGCCCAAATGGCTGCTGGCAGAGGGAAAGGAGTGCGAGGAGTGTTGTTGCTCCTGCTGTGGATGTGCTGGGATAGGGAGGGTTACTGATAGCGCTGGTGGGGGCGGGAGAACAGGAGTGCTGGAAATAGCAGCAAGGATTTTTTTTTTTTTTAATGAATATCCCCTTTCTCAGAAAGGCAACAGCTTTACCTTGCAAGGGCTTTGCTCCAGACTCTGGGCTTTGAAGGGCATGTGGTGACCTTGATGTTTCTGTCCCTTCCTGCTTGCTTTCTGCCTTGCACTCCACTGACCCTGAAGTTTGGATGTGTTTCCCTGTGTTGCTTCACGGTTTGAAAAAATAAGGAATGAATTCTAAGGCGGGGAAGTAGTCTGCATGGTGGAACCTGCTAAAATAAACCTGAAGGGTGTTGCTGTTGGAAAGGTTGTGCCGGGCAGTGATAAGCAGCCTGGAGGCTGCCGTGAAGGGGAGAAGAGACTGGATTGCAGTGGGAACCGGTGTCTGAAATAAATATTGCCCGAGTTGGGCAGGAAGGGGCAGGTTGTCTCCCCCAGATCTGACGCTGCTTCTGAGCCTTTCTCCAGAGTTCCCAGCGATTTAGACAAATGGCCAACGTCAGACTTCTCTAAGTGGTGTTTGTGCTGAACACTTGCAAGGGCGACTTCCCATCCAGCTGCTAAGCAGAAATCCTTGTACTTCGGTCTGGCTGGGAGCTGCTTTGAGCCTTTCCGTGGCAGGAGCTTTTGCAATTTGAGCCCCCCTCCTCCTCCCTCCCCAAAAAAAGGATGGCTTCTTGTGTGAAAGAAAGCAGCAGAGCCAAGCAGACATTATCCCCTGCCGGAAGGAGGGATCCAGGCTCCCTGGGGAGGAGGGGACGGGGGAGCAAGTGATTCATTGCAGCTGCCTGTAGTTTGGCCTCTTCTCTCTCTGCCCTGGGTGCCAGGGAGTGACAGCTTGTGGGCAGCGGGCCAAGCTGTGAAAAGAAGAGTGTGTGAGGCCTTCAGCTTTCTCATGCTTTATCAGGCCGCAAAGAATAGCTTGATATTCAGTCAGCGTTGGTGCAGGTCAGGAGAATGGAAATGGTAATTTAACTCCTGACACGCCAGCTGATTTTTTTGAGACACTGACTTGACCACACGCTCCGCGAGGAGCAAGGGCCGTTTTCCTGCGTTCTTTGTGCAGCAGCGTGCTGAGCAAAGGGAAGGAAGCGCGTGTTGGTGCAGCGATGGAGGTGCCTCTCTGCCGGGCTGGTGGGAAGGACGGAAGGGCTGCTCTCCGCTCCCGGCTCGCTGTGTGCGTGCAGCGGGAGAGCGCGGGGCCCCGCAGCGGGCAATATCCTGCCCGGAGCGGGCAATATCCTGCCCGGAGCAGCCCCACGGCGCGTCCGACCCCGCGTGCAGCGGCCCTCGATGAGGGGGAACCAGCAGCGGGACGGGCCCGTCCTGGCGCCGTCCCCCTTGGCCGCGAGCGCTGCCCGCCGGCGCCGAGGGGGTTAAGCGCAGGCGGCCGCTGGGGGCTGCCCACCTCAGGGGTGTCGAGCTCCATTCCCACGGCTTTTCCTTTCTGCCTGCGCCTGGGGGAGGGATAATTCCTGGAACAAAGTAAAATGCCCCGAGGCCGGAAAGCAGCATCCCAGCCCCTCTGGCCTTGTGTGTTGGTCTGGGAGAGATCTGCACTCCGGTGACCCGGACAGGGACTGCCGGCCACGGCCGGGCTCTGCCGCTGCTCGCTCAGCTGCTGTCCCTGGGTAAAAGCACGGATTTATTGCCCTGCTTTAGGCAGACCGAGATGGCCTGCAGGCAGTCAAGTTCCTGCCGAGGGGACTGAAATAAATTGTTCCTCAGCTGCAAGTCTGCAAGGTAGGAATCAAGGTCCAGCACTTCCGCGAGCAGCTCGTAGCCCAGGGTAATATATGGGCTTTCTGACTGAGTGCGAGCAGTGCTTGGAGGAGGGCTGTTCCCTAAAGGACATACAAGTTTCCCAAAGGCATAAAATAGCAGAGCCTGTTTTTCCCGGTACTGGGTTCACTTTTTCTTGTTGCACTCTGCTAAGCTGTTTGAACCACGGGAATCAGGGAAAAGGGGGAAGACTAGGAGAAAGTTTGAGGGGATGGAGAGTTAATGCTGCCTTGGAGCACAGCCTGCGGCTCCCGCAGAGCCCAAACCCTTTGTGGCTCAGTCGGCAGTGCCAGGAGAGCTGCCAGAGGGGCCAGCCCCGGGGCTGGGCACATCTCCTTTCTGCATGTGGTGCTAGTCCTGACCAGAGCAATTTGCAAGCAGAAAGAGAAGGAAATATCAGTCCAGACCCCAGAAATACCCTCCCAAATCCTCACTGAAAGCCGAGGTGTACAGTCAATGTTCTCTACAACTTCTGGATGTAAAGCACTGCTGTGGTCTGAGCGGGTGGCACTAACGATAGCACAAACGGAGGGTGAATCACAGGCCTGGAGTGCAGTTCCCTGCTGCAGTTCCACGGGGCCGCGCGTGCAGCAGGCAGGCCCCGTTATGCCATGAACTATGGCAAGTATGTGGTTGGAGGCTGGAGCTTTGCCCACTCGCGGAGCGGCCGCCTTGCTGCCCTGTGGGAAGCGCTGCGGAGCCCGCACTTCCCCAGGGACAGCAGGGCCCGCAGGGGAGAGGTCGTGGGAAGCAGCGTGGTCTGCACGGGGCAAAGCCCTGGCTTGTGAGTCCAAGGGAGCAGCAGGGCTCAGCAGCTAGATACGAGCACAGGGCGGGAAACGGTGTCTTCACAAATGTTTTACAACAGAATGTGCAGAGGTTCTTCCTGGCAAGTGGATTTTGCTGGCAAAATCCTAACGAATGACTAGTGAGCAGCAGCGCGTGTTGAGCTGCCCGCTGAATGCTCACTATGCTCTGCTTCCAAGTATCCCGCTGTTCCTTGCTCTGTCCCTTTGCCTGTCCA